GAGGGAGTGCCTACTCTGTGTCCAGTAGTGTCTTAGGACAAGGGCACCGCCCCCATTGGGGACAGACCCAGCACTTGCTCATCCAGCAGCACCTCTCAGCCTCCCCACCAACCTATGTCAGCAGGAGACATTAACCCCAGTTTACAGATGAGGAGACTGAGGCCTCCAAATGTTGTCACGAACAGGCACTGGAGCAACAGAGACAACCAAGACCCAGCCTCCCTGGACCTTGCAGATGCTCACGTGTCTTATCTGCCTCCCCTGCCATTCATCTCACAAGTTCCTCAAGCTCCTTCTCTGTGTAGAGCTGTGACAGGCTCTGCCTTGGCCCATGGTAGAAGCAGGACCCCAGGTCCAGCCAGGCCTCAGGGCCACCATTCTGAGGGTGGAGGGGTAGGGTTTGGGGGGTGTGCAGAGCTAGGGGGGCAGGCAGCAGGGTCGAACACAGGGTGAGCTCTGTGCAGCCCCACCTCACAGGCCACCCCTTGAATCTCCCATTGAATCCTCAGCCTGGTCCATTGTAATGTACAGGTGACACAGCTCTGACAGCCCCAGCCTTTCTCTCTAGAGAACCTTTTGCCTTTTAGGGTGCCATTTTCACTGAGACACCCAAAAGGGTTGCCCCTTTTCATACAAGAGGTAACTGAGGCCCAGCACAGATCTGCTGGGGACACAGGAAGCATGGATCGTGGGCCTCAAGAAAGGCACAGGGAAATGCAACTTAGAGCTCCAATTTGCAAGCCTGCTGCCTGCCCACCTCCAGGGCCACCTACCCTGTTTTGGGGTACACAGTCCTGAGCCCCATCATCCCCCAGGTTCGCCGCCAGAGCAGACTGTGGCTGCACCTACAGCATCCGAGTACAGCTGGTCTCAGCCGACTATATTGCCTTGGCCTCCTTCGAGCCCCCACCTGTGACCATCGATCAGTGGAATGATGCAAGGTGGAGAGAGGTGAGGCCTCACCTGCTTGCCTGCCACCCACTTCTCCCAGGGCCCACAATGCCCCCAGCTCTACCACCTGGAGCTCCTGCCTTCTGGCCTGGACAGTTCTCTGCTGCAGGACCTGGCTCCTCCTTTCTCCTCTCCATTTAAGTGGTCACCCCATCTCATCCCCTCCCCAGTCCTGGTGGTCACTTCCTCACCCCTCCCTCCAGGTCTCCCACACCTTCTCGGATTACCCTCCAGGCGTCCGCCACATCCTCTTCCAGCACGGGGGCAACGACACCCAGTATTGGGCAGGCTGGTATGGGCCCCGCGTCACCAACAGCAGCATCATCATCAGCCCTAAGACAGCCAGAAACCCAGCGCCGTCCAGTGCTCAGCCCGAGACGATGCGGGAGTAGGAGGTTGCCCACTCACCCTCCCCACCTCCTTTCGACAGGCCTTTCTGACAGCCATCAGTCTGTCATCTGACAGCCATTTATCCGTCCTCCGTCCAAGCCAGCCTATAGTGGGCAGTGAGAGCCCCTGCCTCAGGACTTCCTGCCCAGTTCCAAGCTTGGGCAAACCCACCAATTTATGGTAACTTACTGTCACGTAGCTCTGACATTTTGTCATAATAAATTTTTTTCTGTAGAACCAGCCTGGGGTTGGATGTAGAAGTGAGAGATAAAGGGGTCCCTGGCACTTTGGTAAGAACTAGCTCCAGGGTAATTTGGCTGCACCTGCCCCTCCCATTCCAGTTAGTGACAGCCCAGGTCAGCCCTTGGGGCCCCTTTATTGAAACAACTCACAGCACAGTATTTGAGACAACAGTGTTGGCCAGCTGAACCCCAGGAGACTGAGAAATCGAGGTCCCAGCACCCTTCCTGCCCTCCTGGGGAGATTTCCTCCATGAAGGTAACCAGACCTGAGCAGCCCTGAGCTGGAGGGTGGGCAGTCCATACATAGAGGAAATAAGAGCACTTGGAATCAGGGTGGCCCCGCAGCACTGCCTTAGGCGGGGGGCCCCCAAAGTCCAAAAATGGTGGCGTCGGGGGGGGGGGGCAGACACACCCTCAGCTGCTTTTATGAGCTCGTTCTTCCACGTAGAGCTGCATCTAATAGATAGGAACAAACAGCCGTGTTAGATGGACAGGGCACCTGTGTGGGAGCCTGCGAGCACCTGGCAGGGTGGGCTTGCATGGCCAAGCCACGGGTTCAGGGAAAGGGGATGGATGGAAGGAGCCTTACGCCAGATGGTCCTTGGTAATGTCCCCCGGGCCTTGTCCACAGGCTCTCTGGCAAGCCCTTAGCACACCCTAAATAAAGTTTGCCCAGTCCGCATGCAGCTCACCTTTAATATGTCTGATGTCATGGTTTTTAGGGGTATCAGCCGGGGGTCATGCATGTGGACATCCTGCTCATCTGCCAGGATCCAGGGGAAGTCCTAGGGAAGAAATCGAGGGGAGGAGGGGAAAGGGGCTGACCATGGCCTGCTCTCACTTTGCTTCCCTCTCCCCCTCCAGAGCTGGGGTCCTCAGACTTCAGAGAGCATCAGAATCACTAGGGAAGTGGATTCCGAGGCTTTTCCACTGGACAGGCCAGGTGGAAGCTGGACTGGGAACCTAAGTGGTTTAACAAGCCCCAAGTACTGATTCTGAAACTGGTGGGCAAGGATCCCCTCCCTGGAGAACCCCCACTGAGCTGGCAGCCCCAGCATATGGCCCCACCCACTTCTCAGCACTGAGTGCCCAGGTGGAGCAATGGCAGGTGTGTGGTCACATGGTTTACACGATGAGAACCTACTGGGTGCCAGGCTTTGCCGTAAGCAATGTGATGAGTGCACTGGCCATGGGCAGCACCCCTGCCTGCGCAGATAGCCTCCCAGCTATCACCCTGCCTATCTGCCTAGGTCAGTCTCATCTCACCTTGATGACCTGGATCTTCTCCATATTGCGAGTGGCAGCTTCCCTCGTGTGCACCAAGACTGTGAAGGTACAGCCTGAAGAGGCAAGAGTTTAGTCAAATGGGCACAGTCTGTTCCCATCTCCCTAGCTGGTCTGGCAGCCCCATGGAATAGAGTGTAAATCAAGTGCTAAGACAAGACACAGTCAACAGGGAGACTGAAGCCAGGGTCAATCAGGGAAGCTTCCTGGAGGAGGTGGACTCTCAGAGGGATTCTAAAAGGCAAGAAGGAAGAGACGAGGCTTGGTGCAGTCAAGTAGGGACTTGAGAACACAGACCAACCAAGGTAGCCATGGAAACACTCAAGGAAGAGGAGGTGGAGGGTGAGCACACCTGGGGGGTTGTGGTCCAGGACAGCATCACAGACACTGATCTTCAGGATGAAGGCTCGGAGCAGCTGTTCCACATGAGACAACAAGGAGTCTGAGCTGGAAAGAGAGGGGAGGAGGGTCTCCCATCACACTGGTGCCCCTGTCCTACCAGTAGGCAATCAACCCTGGAAACAGACCTGGGGGCCCAGAGCCCCTCCAGTGCTTCTGAGAGTGTTGGCTTCTAAGGGCCTGGCTGCTTGTCTGCACAGTAAAAACCACCTGGGGGATTTAAAACCAATGCAGAGCCCCATTAAGTCAGGATGGGGGGTGGGGTGTAGGGAGCCCCTGTAGGTGGTTCTAATGCGCTAATGTTCTCCCAGTCTGAGAACCAGGATGCCAAGCCGGAAGGGAAAGGGTTTGCCCAAGTCTACGCGGCAAGTAGGAACAGTCTATTGCCCTGACCTCAGCATAGAAAGCCAGCAGTTGACCAGCCAACACACCTGCCCAAGGTCAACTTCAAATTGACTATGGACTACACACTTGACTGGGAAGTCAGGACACTGGGTCTGTGTCTCGGCTCTGCCACCATTTGGGTGACCCTGAGTAGCTCATGTCATGTCTCTTCCATTTATAAGATGAGGTTGGGACTAGCCATTCACCAGTGCTGTGGTTTCCCAGGTGTGACATGGGGATCGCCGCATAACCTGTGTCAAGTCCAGAGACCACTCGGCAGCCAGCTGTGACTCGGCCACTAACAGGCCTTGTTAGGTTGGCACACCTTGCCTTTCTCCTTTCAGACCTTTACCAAGGCACTCAGGGTAAAAGTGAAGGTATTACTAGGGACCTCACACCAGTTAGCAGGTGGACGGCAGAGAGGCAGCTCACCTGATGGACAGCAGCGGGGGCTGGGTGATTTCAAAGACAAATTTTTCCACTGGGCGGTGCTCTTTGTCCAAAATTACCACCACCACTTTCTCCACATCATTCTGCAAGGACAGGAATCCCCTGCTCCAGAACTGGGTGCCCCACCCCCAGAACCCCCTTCCTGCCCAAGGGAGGATGGGATGGGGAAGGGTGCACTCACAGCCCTGCTCGGCCGCAAGGCCAAGGATCCCGAGAGTCCAGAGGTTTGAGAAGTTCAACTAAGCACCCCCAGACACGAGTAGTACAAGCTGAGGGGAGAGAATTCCTGGGCCCCATGGGGATCCCAACACCATGAACATGGCCCACATGCCCTGCGGCCTGCACCTGGGCTGGGGTGGTCTCTGGAGTGCAGGGAATAGGCTTCTGGATGCTAGTCATGGGACCCTGCATGGCCCCAGCATCATCTCATCCCATATTGGGGGTGAGGTGGGCTGGGGAGCCTGGCACCCTCACCTTCTCCAGGAGCGGCTTGACACAGTGCAGCGTGTCCTGGATATACTGGTTCAGCTCCGGGTGGCAGGACATCTGTATACAATGCCATGATGCCTGGTGAGGCCCGCAGCACCAATGGGAAAACCACCCAACACCCCCTCCAAGAGCCCAAGGCTCTGTCTGCCTTTGGAGAGAGGCCTAGCAGTTCCCTAGGGGGTCACTACCCAAGGGACCAACTTCCCATCACAAGGCTAAAAACTCTGAATTATCCACGCAGGAGAAATTAGAAGATAAAAATTCAGTCTCAACATTAACAATTAATATAGCATTGAGGGTTCCTAATGTGGGCTCCACAGGCTTCTCCAGAGTCTAAGAAGTCTCTAAGTTGTGTGTGTTTGGGCATATGGACACTATTCCGGAGAAAGGATCCAGAAATTTAATCAATTTTCAAAAGTTAAGAATCTGGGGACTAAGAAGCTGTGTGGCCGCCGGTAAATTACTTCTCTGACCTTTAATAAACTTCATCCATGAAGCTCTCAAAGAAAAACTGAGGAATGAGTTAAGTGCCCAGTACAAAGTGGGGACTCAGTGCTTTCTTCCTTTTCCCTGTACATTCTTTAAGCTTCCACCACCTTCCAGTATTCAGTCATTATTCTAATGCTTACTGAGTGCCTTCTAAGATGCCAGCACTTCTGGAGCCTAGGGATAGAGTAGCTTAATGGCTTTGTGTCCCTTTTAACCTACAATTAGGGTAAATGCGTGCAGAGAAAAGGTGCCTGAGGTTTACAGGAATCCCCTCCCCAAACCAACCATTCACCAGCATCAAGAACTCTTTTAAAATACAACTCTAATCCGAGAACCTGGTCCCTAACTTCTGGAGGGAAACTTCCAGTTCAGAGGGGAGGAAGGAGCCACTTCAGTGAGGGGTGAGAGATTGTCAGACTATCAGCTGCTGCTGGGACCTGAAAGGCAAGGCTAGGCTGCTAGAGAAGGAAGGGGCTGGGCCTGAAGGTGGAAGAGAGTTTAAAAATCCACTCTCTACCCACTCCGTGATTAGGGGGTGACCTACTGGCCCCAGTCCAGCTGTGGGGGCTCACCTGGACAGGCACATTGTACTTCTTACGCTTCTGGAAGATGCCCACCGGGTACACCTCGCGCACGTAGAGGATTAGGTGCACAGCCACCTCCAGGAACTCGCAGAGTACATCGGCCACCACTGCGAGGGGGCAGAACCTGATGCGCTTGGGAAAGACTTCTGGCCCAGGCCCTCCCTCGCCCCCGACCCCGGGTCAGCAGGTCCAGCCTCCCTACCTTGGCCAAAGTTGAGGTCCTGTCTCGTAAGCGTGGTCATCCTTCCCGCCACCACCTAGGGGATGGGACAGGAGTGGGGGCTAGTTCCAAAGGCCCAGGCTGCTGACTCTCCTCTCCGCCTGGGGGGAATCAAGGCAGGACACTCCCTGCACATAGAATCAAGGGAGCTGGGAAGGAACCCCCACGCTGACGTCATAGCTCGAGGTCATCAGCTGCACTTCCATCAGCCTTCGTCCACTGCCCCCCCACACCCGATGTCTCGCGGGGTAGGAAAGGCCAGAGCTTTGCGGGCGAAAGGGATGCAAAGAAAAGAGCTGGATGCGCAGGGCCAGGAGCTTAAAACGGGACACGCGGAAAGCGAAACTAGGCTGGAATAAGACTCTCCCCCTTGCCTGGCTGTATCCCTCCCAGAGAGAATTCCGCTCCTCTCCTCTCTCCTGGTGCCGGTTCTGGCCTCGGTTCCCGGGTCGGGGCCCGGCCCCGGCGCGGGAAACCACCGACCCGACCACTTGCACTCGCAGCCCAATCCGCGCGGCCCGGACGCAGCTCCGTGACGTCCGCCGCGCTGCAGCTGGTCCTAGCGCCCGCTTTCAGGCCACGCCCACTCCGCGCACCGCCCAAGCGGCCAAGGGGCGGGGCTTGGGAGGGGCGGGGCCTGGCTTCGGCTCCGGAGATCCCCAGGGCCGAGTGGGAGGAGACAGTGCCGCGCCGCCTTTCAATTTTGGGTTGGCGCGAAAAAAGACAGTTTTAGTCCCCATGTCGTATCGCTACGGATCTTCCTCCCCAGGGTATTACGAGGCGCGCTAAGGGGTTGGGTACGTGTTGCTGGTGAGGACCATGTGGAGGTCACAGCTGGGAACTTTGGACAGCGACATCTACTGCTAACTCCGGAGTCGCCATCCCCGAACTCAGCTGCCCAACCGAAAGCGAATCCGCAGGCTCCGGGGCGGGGACAAGGGGAGGAAGGTGCACTGGGGACGCCCCACCCCCACCCAGAACCTGTACAGCTTGGTTTTATTGTGTCCGTGGATTATTTAACTAAATCTTCAAAACAATTCTACGGACAGTTACTGTAATTGTCCCCATTTTACTGACGAGCCAAATGAGCTTCAGAAGGGTGAAGTAAAATGTCCGAGTCTTACAACGATTGGGGGAGGAGCGGGCGGAGATGTCTTCTAGCTCTACACTTCAATGCTCTGGAAGGGCTGAGAGGCCCCTGGAAATAATAATATTAAAATAATTACTAACATGGATTGAGCACTTACTATGTGTCAGCACTGATTTCTTTAATTCCCTCATTAACCATAGGAACTAAATCACCCATTTTACCAATTCACTTTAGATGGTAAAACAGACTCAGAGTTGTTCCCTAATTTGTCAAAATCACACGTTGGGAATACAAACTCAATTCTGACTT